GTCAATTGCTTAAACAATAAATCACGTCCCTCATCTGTTTAACATTCTTCCATTTTGATCGTACCTTTCCGTCTTCGTTCCTTAATTCTTTGTCCTTCATCTTCTGCTCGTGTCCTTCTTTTGTCTAGTTTCTTCCGCATCGTTCCCTGCTCAGTCAAATGCAAAGAATAAAAAGTCTTACTCAGTAAGAATGCAAGCCACCGTCTTCCGATCACTGGTTCATCTGATAATCTGCCATCAGACTTAACTAGCAAACTGAAATGATTTATGGAAATCCCCCTATGGGGGCGGGGGGGGGGCACGCATTAAGCAGCGACTGAGAGTGCAGCCGGAGGTCACGGTCACTACCTTTGGCCATACTTGAAGGTTATCGTGCGCTATGACGACTCGGTGACATAGAATCGTAAACCTGAATCCAATAAATTTTACCAAGCATTACGAGAACTGAACAGCTACCTGTCGGTCGGGTCATCCGGGCTCGTTTCCTGTATAGTTATATACTTGTGACCGAGCACAGGCTATTGAAAAACAGGAAAAGAAGCATATGAAGAAAGCCAACTGTATTTTCCACGTTTGCGCGTGGGAAAAAAAGTTGCTCTCCAAAGTAAACGAGGATCCAAACCAATTTATATATAAGTCGCAAACATATTCAAGATCATTTTCTCTCTGACTGTGATTTTACAATAAAGTAAATTCAATTTGTTGTAAAAATAGAAACAGCTAAGTGACTATTCCTCTTCTACGCTTTGTTCTGATTCCTCTTAGAACGATATTTCTCTGCCCTTATTGTAAAGAGAATAATGTCTCTTACAGAAATGGCCCTCAACCACTGAAACATACTGTAATTTCAGCAGCTGATAGAAACTTTCGAGCTCTTCAATGGTACGAAGCAATATGAACCCATGAAATCTAAAAGTTCATCAAAAGGCATATGCGGAACCTTATGATCAATAATCTTAAGGGTTATCTGTTGTTCAGAGCTGTGTCTTTTTGTGTACCGGCGAAGATCAACATTAATCCACCGAACGTCAATTGGCGGAAGCTCTGATGTGAAAAACAGTGACCTCCAAAAAGACAGGGCTGGACTCCGCGCAACGGGATGAGTCAGAAGCCCCAGCACGGATGGCATTACAGGAAGCAGGGCTTGTTGAAGCCAAGGAACAATAGTCAATTTAGAGAAGAGGCAGGAAGCTGTACATTATGCCGTCAACCCTCGGCATAGCAGATGACACGGATTTCACGGCACGGGTTCAATGTCAGCGAAATAGAAGGGGTGACGACGATTGTCTTTGATTCGGCATTTCCCCTGAAGTGGCATTCTGCCTCCTTCACTTATGGAAGCGTCACTTAAATTCAAAGGACATTTCGATGCTTTGGAACACGTTAGAATACAGTAAGAACCGCAATATTCAAGCTTTGGCACCATGATACGCCGGCGCCATCGCTTCGAAACACTTATCAACTCTCCTAAGTCCT